TTCCGTGGGGCTGCATATTTGCGTACCTGTCTTTGTGTTGGGAGCGCGCCCCTCAGCGCGCTCCCAGCACCGAGACCGCGGTGTCACTGAGAGCACCGGGGTCCCGTTCTATTGATCGGGACCCGGGACTCCCGGTCCCGGGTCACATGATCGCTGTGATAGCCTCTGATTGGCTATCACAGTGATCAGTCACTGTGCAGCCCGGCCCCCTTGTTTTTTTTTTTCTCTCTCTCTCTATGAATGGAGAAGAGAGATACATTGTATCTCTCGAACTCCTGTCAGAGAGAAGAAAAAAAAAAGTTTGTAAAAAAAAAAATAAAGATAAATAAAGAAATATTAAAAAAAAAGAAAAGAAAAAAGAAAAAAAAATACCTAGATCAAGGTTTGATCTAGTTCAGTGCCAGGGTTAGTGTTTAGGTCAGGGTCAAGGTCAAAGGTCAGGGTCAAAGGTCAAGGTCAGGATTTAAAAAAAAATTGGTATCAGTGTCAGTTAGTGTTAATGTCAGTGTCAGTTAGTGTTAGTGTGTTTTAGGTAAAAAAAAAAAAAAAAGACAAAAACAAAATGCGCACTATGGTTTCTGGGCTGTACTACGGGTAAAAACAACAAATAACATACACATATATGGTATCGCTGCGATCGTCAAGAGCTGGAGAATTTATTTTAGGTTGCTCTTTGGTGGTAGGTTATGGTCATAACAAGAAACACATAGCTAAATAAAAAAAAAGGATTTTTTTTACTATTTTTGGCCAGTTTTCCTTTGATAATAAAAAAAAAATCAGGAGATATCCATTACCATTTACCACCAAATGAAAGCCCAATTTGTCCTGAAAAAATCAAGGTATAATCCACCTGGATGTGCAAAGTAGTTGTGATGATATGTACGGTTTTGCTATCACATGTCAACGGTGCAGAATTGTGCTTAGGCCTCTAGATTTGTTTTACCCTTAGGCGTGAAGGGGTTAAAGAAAAAGGAATGGTTTCTCGCCATGATTTAAACAGATTTCTAAAATGAATAAACAAAAGTGAATCACGCTCCCTAAACCCCATAAATAAACATGTGATACCCACAAAATATCTTGCATACATGTGAATAAATACATAAATAAACAATATAAAAACAATATAATATCAAAATAAAAAATCAATACAAATAACTTATTGCATACATGCCTACCTCCCACATAGACTAAGTGCAATACATAAATAAATCGTGACAACTAAATGAAGTGCACATAAATCAAACAATTCATAAAAAGTCCATGCTCCTTCCATAATTAGGTAGTGCAAAAGAAGAAAAAAACACCCAGAAGTTGTGTGATCTTCCTTTCTTCTCAAAAAGAGAGAAACACACCGGACTCACCAGATAAATTTGACCAATTTTCTCAAAGAAGGTCAATTGCACTTAAACATCTCCATTGGTTCTTGTTTCCTCTTTACACCAGCTTGTATTAGGAAAACTGGATACAGCATACAACCATGGCGATCTTGCACATCAAGGAACTCTAAATTAAACCTCCCTCAGAGAGGAGAAAAGATGGAGGAACTTCTCATAGTGCAGTATAGTTAGTTTATTTAACAAATGCTTAAAATTGCACTTACATAAGTATAAAACATCCAAGCATGTATACTCAAAGCAGGAACACCAGTCAGACGTAAAAGGACTTGGCCAGTATCTAATGATGTAATAATGACATGAAAAGGGGTCTTAAGTATTTATTGAGTAGACTGATGGTTGATGGTAAGTAGCATTTTTCAAAGGGTAACTTGTTTATCTAATCAACAGTAAAATAATGCAATTTAGGAAATATCTGAACAGATTAGATTTTATGACTGCAGCTGTCCAAGGCCAAGAGGCATTACCCATCACCTAAAGGATCAAAGGGGCTACTAAAACTGGCCAATCAGAGTGCTTGACATTTTACTGAAAGGAGGAAAATGTGTATATTAGGGAAGATTTTTTTTGTTAAGCTATGACAGGAGAAAGTGGGTCCTCTGAAAGTGTCTGATAGTTGCATGAATATTATAAGTACCCTGTCATCTGCCTTGTCTGTACCTCTGTCTTATGGATTGTTTGTGAACTGATTAAATGCATCTCTCTGGAAAAGAACCATTAACTTTGTTGCTGCAGGAAATACATTTCTGGGATAGAGGAATGTGACATTCCATATCGGCTAGCGAACTCTTACCTTAACAACAATAATTAGAATTATCATCCCTCATCCATGTAATATATGACAACACATTGAATCTGCTCAAAAGGCTTTAGCTGTCTTAATAATTTTTTTCGAAACATCTAGACAGGTGACTGGTATACACGTCCGCACGCTAAATAAATCCTAAAAACCTAGGGAATTAAGTATTTCATTAAAATGGTGAATTTATAAAGAAAAAAAATACTCAAAATGTGTATATACAATATAGGAACACAAAAAGAGTATGTAATTGGTGGCACGGTATAGTGGTAAAATGCCTATGTGTTGTTGTCTTCTAAATTATGAGGTCCACACAGAAACAGTTCATAAGACAAATCTGTTGTCTTATATCAATGATGGAGGACGTATGACCAGTGTATATTTATAAATGTAGTTTTCCCGCAGCAACTAGTCTAACAGTTCTTTTCCAGAGAGATGCATTTAATCAGTTCAGCGACAGTTCATAAGACAGAGGTACAGACAAGGCAGATGACAGGATACGTAGAATATCCATGTAATTATTAGAAACCTTTAGAGAACCCCTTTCTCCTGTGACATTTACCCAAAAAGAAGCTTCTTTAATATACACATTTTTCCCATTCAGTACAATGGCAAGCACTCTGATTGGCCACTTTTAGTAGCCCCTTTGATCTTCTGGGTGACAAGTAATGCATTTTGGGCTTGGAATGCTGCAGTCATAATTCTAATCAAAGTTTTCTAGATATTTCCTAAACTACATTCTTTTGTTATTAATTAGATAAACAAGTTACCCTTTGAAGAATGCTATTTACCATACTTAATACCCCTTTTAGTAGATGTTGACCAACTCCTTCCAAGTCTGACTGAGCTATCTGCATTTTATCACCCTTGCAAATTTGCAAATTACCTCCTTTGAAATGTAACAAGTTATAAAATACATCTTGCTCAGTATATTCTGGCTTGGTCAATAACATGAGGAGAATACACCACATAATAAATATATATATATATATAATTACAATATCCCTACATGTGTGTGTTTGCACAAAATAGCAGAACAATGTGGTGATGCAGTCCATTAAAAACGTTCAATGCTTTGACATGAAATTCAGTAGTCTACTTGTCAGGGCTCCCGGGTATGACCAGAGGTGTGTGACTGACGCAGGGAAACGCAGACTTCAGATATGTTATAAACAATGTAATTTATTAACACTAACCATACAAACATAAACGCAGTGCAATACTAAAACATAACACAGTGCAAACAAACCAACCAACCACCCACAGATAACAGTACATACAATGCAAGCGTCGTCAGGCAGGCCGGGTCAATATCAGTCGGGCAGGTAGGTACAGGGGGAGCAAGCGGAGAATGGTCGGGGTCACAAGCCAGGTTCAGCAGGTAGCGGGCAGCGTGGTACAGAGGGTCAGGCAGAGGAGAATGGTCAGACAAGCCAGGGATCAGAGCAGGGTCAGCAGAGAATCAGACAGGAACAGGGAGCAGGAACAGGATACAGGGCCCAAGAGAAACACAACACCAAGGCAGAGTCTGCAGGTCTGAATGTCCCTTAAATACACAGTATAATTAGTTCCAGGTGTTTGACTGGCTGCAAGGTTGAGTCTCTGATTGCTGGGAGCACCCGCTGGCCAGCCCTGGTACTGCAGCTCATAAGGCAGCTGAGTCCCACTATTGCTGGCCAGTCCATTCCTGACAGTACCCCCCCCCTCAAGGAGCGGCCTCAGGACGCTCCAAACAGTCCTAGCTGGGCAAAATGTTCCACCGCCCGGGTCTGGTAACTGGCGGGATATCAAAGACTGGCACACCGAGCAGGACTCCGGGCAGCGGCACACCGGGCAGAGGCACTTCGGGCTGGACTCCGGGCAGAGGCACATCGGGCTGGACTCCGAGCAGAGGCACATCGGGCTGGACTCCGGGCAGAGGCACATCGGGCTGGACTCCGGGCAGAGGCACATCGGGCTGGACTCCGGGCAGAGGCACATCGGGCAGGGCTCCGGGCAGTGGCACATCGGGCAGGGCTCCGGGCAGAGGCACATCGGGCCGGACTCCGGGCAGAGGCACATCGGATTACCAGGCGAAGCAGCAGGCAGCGGGCCCCCGGGCAGAGCAGCAGGCAGCGGGCCCCCGAGCGGGGCAACAGGCATCGGGCCCCCGGGCGGGGCGACCGGCATCGGGTCCCCAGGCGGGGCGACTGGCATCGGGCCCCCAGGCAGAGCAGTGGGCGCCCGGGCCCCCAGGAGGGCGACAGGCATCGGGCCCCCGGGCAGGGCGACAGGCGTCGGGCCCCCAGGCGGGGCGACGGGTGTCGGGCCCCCAGGCGGAGCGGCAGGCGCCGGGCCCCCAGGAGGGGCGACAGGCATCAGGCCCCCAGGCGGGGCGACAGGCATCGGGCCCCCAGGCGGGGCGACAGGCATCGGGCCCCCAGGTGGAGCGACAGGTCTCGGGCCCTCAGGCGGAGCGGCGGGCGCCGGACCCCCAGGCGGAGCGACAGGTCTCGGGCCCTCAGGCGGAGCGGCGGGCGCCGGACCCCCAGGCGGAGCGACAGGTTTCGGGCCCTCAGGCGGAGCGGCGGGCGCCGGACCCCCAGGCGGAGCGACAGGTCTCGGGCCCTCAGGCGGAGCGGCGGGCGCCGGACCCCCAGGCGGAGCGACAGGTCTCGGGCCCTCAGGCGGAGCGACAGGTCTCGGGCCCTCAGGCGGAGCGACAGGTCTCGGGCCCCCAGGCGGGGCGGCGGGCGCCGGACCCCCAGGCGGAGCGGCGGGCACCGGCCCCCCAGGCGGAGCGACAGGTCTCGGGCCCCCAGGCGAAGCGGTGGGCACCGAGTCACCAGGCACGACAGTGGGCTCCGAGTCAACTGGCATGACCGCTGGCACTGGTTCAGACATTGGATCGTCTGGCTGGACAGCGGGCATCGGGTCACCAGGCATCAGGTCATTTGGCTTGACAGCGGGCACCGCGTCATCTGGCAAGGCAGTGGGCTCCGAGTCAACTGGTATGACCGCGGACACTGGGTCAGACATTGGATCGTCTGACTGGACAGCGGGCATCGGGTCACCAGGCATCAAGTCATTTGGCTCGACAGCGAGCACAGCGTCATCTGGCAAGGCAGTGGGCTCCGAGTCAACTGGCATGACCGCGGGCACTGGGGCAGACATTTGAATCGTCTGGCTGGACAGCGGGCATCAGGTCACCAGGCATCAGGTCATTTGGCTCGACAGCGGGCACCGCGTCATCTGGCAAGGCAGTGGGCTCCGAGTCAACAGGCAAGGTGTGGCTCCGAGTCAACAGGCAAGGCAGTGGGCTCCGAGTCAACAGGCACGACAGTGGGCTCTGAGTCAATTGGCACGACAGCGGGCACCAGGTCATCAGGTACCGGATTGTCTGGCTCGACAGAGGGCATCGGGTCACCAGGTATGACAGCGGGCACTGGGTCACCAGGCATCAGGTCATTTGGCTTGCCAGCGGGCACCGCGTCATCTGGCAAGGCAGTGGGCACCGGGTCACCAGGCATTGGATCGTCTGGCTCGACAGCGGGCATCGGGTCACCAGGTATGACAGCGGGCACTGGGTCACCAGGCATCAGGTCATTTGGCTCGCCAGCGGGCACCGCGTCATCTGGCAAGGCAGTGGGCACCGAGTCACCATGTACGACAGCGGGCTCTGAGTCAATTGGCACGACAGCGGGCACCGGGTCATCAGGTACCGGATTGTCTGGCTCGACCGCGGGTATCGGGTCACCAGTATGACAGCGGGCACCGGGTCATCAGGTACCGGATTGTCTGGCTCGACAGCGGGCATCGGGTCACCAGGTATGACAGCGGGCACTGGGTCACCAGGCATCAGGTCATTTGGCTCGCCAGCGGGCACCGCGTCATCTGGCAAGGCAGTGGGCACCGAGTCACCAGGTATGACAGCGGGCTCTGAGTCAATTGGCACGACAGCGGGCACTGGATCAGGTACGGATCGTCTGGATCAACAGCGGGTATCGAGTCAACTGGCCTAATAGGATCATCAGGCTGGATCAGTTCATCAGGCTGAGTGGAGGCACAAGGCTGAGTAGAGGCACCAGGCTGAGTGGAGGCACCAGGCTGAGTGGAGGCACCAGGCTGAGTAGGGGCATCCGGCTGAGTAGAGGCATCCGGCTGAGTAGAGGCATCCGGCTGAGTAGAGGCACCAGGCTGAGTAGAGGCACCAGGCTGAGTAGAGGCATCAGGCTGAGTGGAGGCACCACCAGGCACCAGGCTGAGTAGAGGCATCAGGCTGAGTGGAGGCACCAGGCTGGGTACAGGCACCAGGCTGAATAGAGGCATCAGGCTGAATGGCGGGTGCCGAGGCACCAGGCTGAACCACGGAAGGCAGGTTCTCAGACGGCAGGCTCACCGGTTTGGATACTGGCAGGATGGTATTGGTTGGAAAGAATTTTCGCTTTTTTCTGGTTTTAACTACTGGAGCACTGCAAGTAAACGCAGGTCTGCAAACGAATGGAGCAGCTGGAGACAGAGAAGAGCTGGAGGATGGAACAGAGGAGGGAGCAGTTGCTACAGAGGGCTTTTTTTACAGGGTTAAAGGCAGGATAGGTGCAGCGAGTGGGAACAGGGTACTGACATGCGGTAGATAGCAGGGCAGGAGGAGCTGTTGGGAATGCAGGAATAGAGTTTTGAGGAAATAGATTAGAAGCAGGACTGGGTTTTTGTAAGCTGACTGAGGCTGGGTGCAACAAATCTGTCCATGTCTGCAGTATGGGTTGAACAAAGCTGAGCTTACACAAAGCCTGTCCGGTCAATGACTGCACTGCGTTTATACAATCTCTTAGTATCTGTGGTGAACATGCAGAATAACGCTCCAGAAAGTAACCCACATCATCCTCTAATAACCACACCAGGGACTCTACCTGGTCTGCACTAAATGGTGGCAAAAATTCATCCCTGCATTCGGGGGTACCAGATGAAACCAACTCAGCACAAACCTCAATCAAAGGCTGCACCTCAGAGAACTCTGTGCCCTGATCTACTAGAACATGAGCGATCCGTATACATTCTAGCAGTTCATCCCGGGTATACTCCTTCAGAGTTTGATAAGCATACTCCCTGTCATCAAACACTAGCAGATATAAATACGCAACCTCATCCAGATCCATCCTTCCCATCAACAAACCAAAATGGCTTCCCTGTGCAGCCACTTCTGGTCAGGATTGGCCTTGGTGTAATGTCAGGGCTCCCGGGTATGACCAGAGGTGTGTGACTGACGCAGGGAAACGCAGACTTCAGATATGTTATAAACAATGTAACTTATTAACACTAACCATACAAACATAAACGCAGTGCAATACTAAAACATAACACAGTGCAAACAAACCAACCACCCACAGATAACAGTACATACAATGCAAGCGTCGTCAGGCAGGCCGGGTCAATATCAGTCGGGCAGGTAGGTACAGGGGGAGCAAGCGGAGAATGGTCGGGGTCACAAGCCAGGTTCAGCAGGTAGCGGGCAGCGTGGTACAGAGGGTCAGGCAGAGGAGAATGGTCAGACAAGCCAGGGATCAGAGCAGGGTCAGCAGAGAATCAGACAGGAACAGGGAGCAGGAACAGGATACAGGGCCCAAGAGAAACACAACACCAAGGCAGAGTCTGCAGGTCTGAATGTCCCTTAAATACACCAGTATAATTAGTTCCAGGTGTTTGACTGGCTGCAAGGTTGAGTCTCTGATTGCTGGGAGCACCCGCTGGCCAGCCCTGGTACTGCAGCTCATAAGGCAGCTGAGTCCCACTATTGCTGGCCAGTCCATTCCTGACACTACTGAGGGCATAGATGACTACCCTAAGTCACGCTCATAGTGATGTCAGGTCGCACTTACTGGGGATCTTACTAATTCAAGGCCCTTGTGATGGTAAATTTAACTGCGTTGATATGTATTCTGTTGTACATTTTCCATAAGGCAAAGCTATTTCACATAAAGAGACAAATCTGCAAATTAACCCCCAAGCTACGTTGAATAGTGGTCCTAAGAAGAAGAGAATTTTAGAATGGGAGAATCTATGAACAAGTAGCTGGGTTGTATGCATGTGAATAAATGGAAATGTCTAAACAAAGGGACAATTTGAAAACAAAGTGAATGTCAAAAGATGGTGCTTCCACGTTACACCACCTACATTTGCAACCATTTGAGCCCTAAGCTGATTTATATTCTTTGTGCCCTTCACCAGTGTAATGGAATCATGCAAAAAGGTAAGTGTTCACTGGCATTTGTGTTTTAAGTCTGATTTTTTTTGTGAAGTATTTGTGAAGAATCTGACATGCAGTGTTCTATGCAGTGAGCCAGGTATACGTTTTATTATTGCAATTGCTATGCATCACATTGATTTTCTGTTTTTCACATGAATATATCCTAAACATGCCCCAGACTGATGTCCTGAGAGCTTGTTACACTTGTTTCTCAGTCTAGCAATCATGTCTACAAATCCTAACAATACATCAACAAAGAAAAGAAAGTACTAGAAAGCGTGCTTTATGTAAGATTAACTTTAACATACTGAATTAGCCATACTGAATATTGTAAATATAAAATAAATAACAATAAAATAGCAAGTGCTTTAAAAGTGTTAAGATTTCGGTTATTTTCTATAAAAGATATGCCAATACTAACCATAAATTTGTATGCCAATCCCTGTACAGAACCTGAGATTTCGAGTTACTCTTCCGCTGAGTGCATCCTATGATTTCAGCTATTCTACTTTTAGAAAGACTAGAACAGACTGCATTAATGTTTTTTCAGTTACATCAATAAGTGGAAGTCAGCCTTGTATATAATATCTTCCCTTGGGGTCAGAATACTGTCTTAATAACAGTCATGGAAAATTGCACAAAAATTACAGAAGCTTGTCAGTTCAGACAGGGCAATACGTTTGTATGTAGAGTTGATTCCATTTATTGATATCAATAAGGAAGCAGATTTGATACATCATATTCCAGTTTCTCTTAAAATCAATGTCAATCTATTGTTACTAGAGGCAACCACTGTCTGCTGCATAGCTGAGGACACCTTTATTGCGCCTGCATACACAGTTTCTGTTTTGGACAAGTCCCTTGTCTGTCTAAAAAAGGAACTGTAAGGCTTGGTTCACATTGCTGGTGCCAGTCATGGGCGTATCTGCCGCGAGGCAAACAAGGCATCTGCCTTGGGCAGCACTTTTCAGGGGGGGCGGCACCACCCCCAGGCAAAAGGGACCAGTGCTGTCGCTGCAAAGGGCTGTGCTTGGCTAGGGGGCGTGCTCGGGCGGGTTCATGTGCTCAGCGGCGAGGACACAGAGAACCTGGCAGCTACGGAGCCGTCTGGAGAGGGGGCTGGGCGGCACATAGAAGACCGTGCATTTCTCTCTATGCTCTATGTGCCGCCAGTCACCTCCCCTATAGATCTCCTGCAGGTCAGCTACTGTATGCTCCCCCACGGCCGCCCCCCCCCCCAAGCACTGCAGGGGATCTGTCAGCATATGCAGTCCCCAGTGCTGACAGTCCCCCCCCTCCCCTCACACAGACGGGAGAGGAGAGAGAAAGCTGCCCCTCCTCCTCCCGCCCCCTCCTCCTGTGTCTGCCCCACCCACACTTCCAGCCAGCCTTGTATATTCTTCCCCCCCCTCTCTCTCTCTCTCTCTCTCTCTCTCTCTCTCTCTCCTTTTTCTCTCTCCCTCCCCCTCTCTCCCCCTCTCTCTCTCTCTCTCCTCTATCTCCCTCCCCCTCTCTCTTTCCTCTCTCTCTCCCCTCTCTTCTCCCTCACCCCCCCCTCTCTCCCCTTTCTCTCTCCCCTCTCCATCTCTCTCCCTATCTCTCTCCATCTCTCTCTCTCCCCTCTCTCCCTCCCCTCTCTCTCTCACCCCCCTCTCTCCCTCTATCCCTCCCCCTCTCTCTCCCTCTCCCCCCTCGCCCCCTCTCTCTCTCCTCTCTCCCCCTCTTTCTTCCCCCTCCCTCTCTTCCCCTCTCTCTCTTCCCACTCCCCCTCTCTCTCTCCCTCCCCCTTTCTCTCTCTCCCCCTCCCTCCCCCTCTCTCTCTTTCTCTCTCCCCTCTCGCTCTCCCCCCTCTCTCTTTTCCCACTCTCTCTCCCCCCCCCTCTCTCTTCCCCCTTTCCCTCTCTCTCCCTCCTCTCCCTCTCTCTCTCTCTCTCTCCATCCTCTCCCATCTCACCCCTCCCCCCCCTCTCTCCCCCATCTCTCTCTTCTCTCTCTCTCCTCTCCCCCTCTCTCTATCTCCCTCCTCTCTTCTCTCTTCTCCCCCCCTCTCTCTCTACCCTCTCTCTCCCCTCTCCCTCTCCTTCTCTCTCCTTTCTAACTCTCCAACTCTCTCTCTTTGATTGGTGTCAGTGGGAGGAATAGTGCCCCATCATTGGTGTCAGTGGGAGGAAGTGCCCCATCATTAGTGCCAGTGTGGGAGGAATAGTGTCCCATCATTGGTGTCAGTGGGAGGAATAGTGCCCCATCATTAGTGTCAGTGTGGGAGGAATAGAATAGTGCCCCATCATTGGTGTCAGTGTGAATGTGCCCCAT